GTCTTCAGGTCATCTGTTGACCGACAAGTGAATTTCTCCAGCCCGGAGCAACTGCCGAACTTGATGCGTTCTCAAGCAACACTTGCCGATTAACTGATGGTTACAAGTCAAACCGAAACAACGCAATAAAACCAATGAATGTAGCGAACCTTCGAACCAAATAGATCAGTTCCACTATGCTGCCCTTAAACCCAGTGCTTGCCTTAATATAAAATAACGCGGTCATCCGAAGACCGAAGAGAGCAGCAGCGCACATTTCTTCGATGAAGATTTTAGTACACCAGCCCGGAACAGCTTCAATCCTAAATCGAAAAGACAATGACCAAATCGAAAGCTTTATTTTGTTTAGGCCTTCACAGTTTTCGCCCCCTTCTCAATCTTAGGGCGTTTCGCTTTTTCTGTCTTCGGCTTTTCGCCCTCGTGTTGGCGTTTCAATTCTTTTCTCTTGGCCTTCGCCTTCTCAGCAGCACGCTGACGAGCGATACGCGTATTTTTCTCACCGATGGCGTAAGGGTTCAACTTTAGGAGCGCCTGTAAAAGACAATAGGATAATTTTTAGAACCTTATGAAAATCGGAAAAATCAAAAGTCCGAAAAATAAATCGCGACTAGAAAAATCACTCAAACCTCGGTCTACCCGGTAGGTTGTTATTGCGTGTCCAAACTGACATCGACCCACAGATCACGAAAACCAAACAGGACCGCTCTCGGTATGCTAGTGTTAACGATTAGATATCTCATTAATCAGACTGTGAGCTCATTTTTCAGGTACTAAGCAGTCATGCAGCGTTATTTATTTGCCCCCGGGTGTGCAATACATGCTTGGATAATCTGGTTAATCGCCACAAATCGGATCACGTATGTTCCATAAATATTGTAGAATAGACATGATCACGAAAATCTGAAAGAATCAGTGGATGAATACTAGAGGAGTTGTGTACAATCCCTTACAGATAAGAAATAATTAGTATAACCAGTATAAAACCTTGACGGAATTAATGTTCCCTACAAGCATAACACTGTCACCTTACCTGTAGGTTCTTCAATGGATTTTTCTTGACTTTCGATCCAGGACGCTGGAAGTGCATCAAACGAGGTCGCAGGATGGATGTTATCTCTCGACAATGCAGAAGACGTCCGAGATCTGCGTTGGTCATTTTCGGCATTGGTAGATGGAAGCCGGATTTCTTCACACTTGGTGTTTTCCAGGTACCATAGATTTTATCCAACTGGTGGAATGCACCGGCCGTCCAGATGGCCAGTCTTCCCATATGACCTCCAGGGGCAAGCTTAAGAATATTGAGCGCGCTAACTCGGATGAGCGTAACCCCGGGGATATTTCTGAAGGCTCGAGTGATACCATCGTCTTTCCGATAAATAACAATAGGACCACGCTTTTGGATGCGACGCCGATTGCGCATCTTACCGCGACCAGCACGGAAACGCTGTGAATTATATACTTTTTGGATGTCGGACCAGGCTTTAATCGACTTTAATACCTTTACGGCCTCCTTGGTTTTCTTGATGGACTCGAGTTCATCAGACAAGACCAAAGGCAATTCGGGGACACGATCAATCCGGTGACCTCGAGCCATAACCAATGCAGGGACACCAGTCGCCGCTATGGCTGAGCACATAGCGTACCGGCGCTGCTGTACATTGATTCGCCGGTGCCAATGACGCCACACCTTAGTTGGAGCAAACATATGGCCACCACGGCACATATTACCGAAGGCACCCTGTCCGGATCGATGAGTACCACCACCGCGGACCCGGGGAATACGGGCCACCGCTCTACCGGTACCCCAGGATTCCGCTGACGTTTGATGGCCAGCCTTTGCGCTCACCGCATACGGCTGCCGGGAGTTTTTGCGCATCTGATCGTGAACAGTGTTCAACAAATCGCTACGCAGAGGGGCCGAGAAGACGGCTGGCATCTTGACTGTCATGCCAGACGCTGACCCATCTATCTTGAAAACATTCACGATTGGCCTCGTGACCGCCTGCAATCAGTTGAGAAAAAGGCAGAGCAGATTGAAAACAGTAGAAAAGAACCGTATCTTCATGAAACGCCTGACCGACGGGCATAAAAAGGTTAGATTAACTGAGAACAAGCGATACAGAACGAAGGGAACTACAATTTCAGGATCCAACCAGTGGTCGCTTATCCAAAAAAATTGCACAGCAGACCGAAAAAATTGACTTGTGTATGAAACTTCGAGAGAAAGTAATGAGACCTATACCTAAACAGTTGCAAAATTGGTACAAAATAAAAAAACTAGGTCATTACATATTGATAAACTGGACAACGAAGATTGTTCAGGCAAATTAGAGACACTGCACATACCATGAGAAAGAGCTGCGTGACGTGAGGCAAAAACGATACGACCTTGTACTGAAATTGTCACTGATCTAACAACTAAAACAAATTCAGGTCAGGTTCAGTTCAGTTCAGTTCCAGGACGTTGACGGCGGTGTGCCAGTTAGTCCAGTTTCC